ATGAATCAGCCGCTTCTAATAATTAGCTATTTGAAAGGATCAGCATTACGTGATTTGATAGTTATCTTGTGTTAGCAATCAAGATTTAACATGTCTCTCCATAATTTACCGACAGTAATCCTATATTCGTTCTACCGATATTAGTGACAATATGAGAATATTTTATTTTTTTACTGCAGCAGGTCTGTTAATAAACTGACAAGATGTGTGCTATAGCTACTTTCTTATCGTTTATTTCAGTCATGGCTTTTACGGTGCTATTTTACTATATTGAAGGATGAACTATAACACTTGCTTCTATTTTAAAATTTTTTAATTTCATTTAAGATATATCGCTGTGACAAGCAGCATCGATTGCTCAAGTTATTTTGGCTCTTACGGTTATATACTTTTACCTTATAATCCGTAGTGTAAAATAGAAACAACGAAATGTTGATATGCAATATTTACATAAACTATTTGAAATTGCCTTTTGCTAGATTAAGTGGCTTTATCTAGTAATACTTCTTTTTTTTCATCTTATTTTGAGACAATGTCAATGTTGCATAGTAATCAATTGCTTTGTGTTATGCAAACATTTCTACAATTACAAGAGATACGTACATGAATAAGAAACTATATTCCTATGATAATCCAATAATTATAAATCTGGGATAAACTTTGGTATCTGTATTAGATAGATTTCTTTCATACTAAATACAGGATTTCTTTCAAATGTTGAATAGGATGCTTTATTTTGTTATGGCTGCTTCACTAACCAATACTAGATCATCGATGTATCACGTTTTTCAGTAAGATTTTGTTGCCATTGGCAGTATGATTAAAACTGCTCATTAATGTATAAATTTAGCGTTGACAACACGTATTACAGTAATGCTAGAGCTGAATCATATTTAATAAAAAAGGTTTCTAATATAAAATATAGTAAGATTGACTGATTGCGACAATATCATGAAAGATGTAATAGATTGAATATTTATCCGATAGTAGTATGTGCTCACCTAACAGCAGTTTTATTGCACAGAAGACATACCGTATCCATTGTAAATAGTCTGTTTATTTGACAAGATCTTGCTAACCACCATGTGGTTACTACATTGTCTCTAGCAGCTTG